CAGCATTTCAAAATGACACATGCAGACTGGGTGTGGTGGCTGACACCTGCAATGCCAGTACTTTCAGAGGCCAAGGTCAGTGGATCACCTGAGGTCAGGAGTTTGAGACCAATCTGGCCAACATGGTGAAACCCTGTCTCTACTAAAAGTACGCCAAATTAGCTGGGCATGGTGGTGCATGCCTGTAGTCCCAGCTGCTTGGGAGGCTGAGGCACAACAATCACTTGAACCTGGGAGGCAAATGTTGCAGTGAGCTGAGATTGTGTCACTGCACTCCAGCTTGGGAGTTAGAGTGGGACTTCATCTCAAAAAAAAAAATTGCAGATGCACCTTGGAAATCTGGGGGAAAAATATATAAGCATAAAAAGAGATTGAGGGTATTTCAGTTGATAGTCATTAGGCACCCTTCTATTGAGAGTGAGAGACAGGCAGAAATTATAGAGGATGCAGAGGCAGGCAGAATAAGTCTGACTCTGAAAAATGGAGCTTTTGCTATTTTGAAAGTGATATAATGCACAGCATTTAAAAAAAAGCCATTATCCAGCTTTATTTTATGAACGGGGGAGAAAAAAAACGTGTAAAATTGCCTCCAGTTTAAAGCAGGGAATGAATTCAGATCACATGAAGTGGGAAATTGTCTTTTTTTTCCTTAGTGCAATAAGTATGATTTTTCTTGGGACCCTGAAGATGTCAAAGCATAGCTTTCCTTTATTTTTAAAAAATATTATTATCATTATTATTATTATTTCAAGGTGCAGCTTCACTGATCATCCAGGCTGAAGTACAATGGCACAATCTTGACTCACTGCAGCCCCCTCCTCCTACGTTCAAGCAATTCTTCTGCCTCAGCCTCCCAAGTAGCTGGGATTACAGGCATACACCACAACGCCCAGCTACTTTTTTTTTTTTTTTTTGATAGTTTTGATAGAGATGGGGTTCCCCCATGTTGGTCAGGCTGGTCTCAAACTCCTGACCTTTGGTGATCCGCTGCCTGGGCCTCCCAAAGTGCTGGGATTACAGGTGTGAGCCACAGAGACTGGCTAGCTTTCCTTTAAAAGCATCAACTTTTTTTTTTAACAGAAAAATGTAAAATTGATTACCTTGTAGTAGGATAACTCAATGAAACAGTTTCAGAATCTCAAGATGGTAGCTAAAAAACATCTATAATACAAATTAGAATTTTTTTTTATTCCCTGCTGACATCAATGTGGAAAAAAATGCCCATGAGGCATAGGGATTGAGTCTGAATTTGGCTAATATATATTTGGCACTCAGATATTAAGTACATATTGTGGTTTGAGGATAGTACACTTTGATGCTGAATTTATACTATTGTATTGGACATTAAGCAGCTCCAATTTTCAAAAATGTGCAATTCTTTTAAAGAGTTTTTAAGGTAAAAGTCGAATGTTAGCATTGCCTAATTGTAGCTAATTAAGATGTAGAATATAAAATCTGTGTTCCAGGAATCTTAAGAACTTATCATCATAAACTTACACAGGCAAAAGTGAAGTATTAAATGAAAAGTGTACAGAAAATAATTGGTGTCGGTTTTGGAGAGGTAAAATTCAGATATATTTAATGAATTCAAGATTCCAGAATACTACACCTGGTAATATTTAATTAAAGTATAATCGATTTTACAAAATTAATTGAATGCATTCTGATCTGAATATGTGAGAGTTAGGTAGTTTTAGAAGTGGCAAGTACTAAGCTGTAAAACAGTTCAAAATCAAACAAATAAACAAAAATTCTGCTTCTATAAATAGCTGTCCTGGGAATGTTGTTGATCACTTCATAGTCATATAAATAAAGTGAGTTGGTTTAATGATTTACCATTAAATTCTAAATATGTTGTGGCAGTTCAGACATTTAAGCTTTATTAACTGCTTTAATAAATTCTGAACTGTGCTCGAGAGGCTACATTGACCTTCCCCAAGGATTTTGCTAGGTATGAATAGGTAGTTCTCAATAAAGCAACTGAAAGTTTATAAATGTTTGAAAGTAGGTCTTGTCTGAGCTTGCTAGATAAAAAATGAGTCTATTTCTGAAAGTATAATTCAATGTAAGGTTTTATAACATTGAGATACAGTAAATAGTTTCTGGATAATTCATGTATTTCTATTAATAATTTCAAGATGCTAAGCGACTTTTCACCTTTTTGATTCTCAAAAAAATATACATATGGCATCACAAAAGTTCATCCCTCTTATAAGATCAAACTTAGATATGCTAGAGCTTCAGAATTAAAAATTGCCAAAGATTAAATTTGCAGTGGTGTCTTCTAAATTTCCAGGTAAAGTTTTGCATTCTGAAATTTTAAAATGGATACATTGGCATGCATTCATACTTCAGCCAAGAATCAATTATCTGACTTTTGTATTAGGCTGCAGGATTTTGTAAGGCCAAAACTGAATATGCAAATTTGAAGATGTTAAGTGGGGGTATACTTTAAAAACTCAGCCCAGAGTCCCTTAATTAATAGTTGGAATTGCTAGCTTTGATATTGGACCTTACATGACATTGTTTGTCCTGTGCCTAAATAAATATGCTGCAGTGAATTGGTGGATTGTCATTCCCAGTGAATTAATTTTCTTTACATTGTGTTTCATGATAAAGCCCTAAAATGCAAACAGTACATTATATAACATTCCCTTCTATGAAGTCACACCTTTGCTAAACTGACTTGAGTTTTTGCTGTCACAAAATTGACATTTACTGGGGAAAATATGGAATAGGAAAAAAGGTGACGTTCAGTCTGATTTCAAGGTTTGGGAATTTATGTAGTGCCCAACAGACATACTCCCCGTTAGAAAATAACTGTGGTTATTTAAGGATGAAATAATACATATGTTATTGTTTCCACTGGTGTACGTTAGTTTTTCAAGTACCTGCAATGTTGTTAGAATATTTTCAAGTACTTGAAATGTTCTTAGGTACTAGACTGGAAGAAATATCTCAATTCCGTTTGTTCAGTACTTTTCTTTATTAGTAAATTAGTGAAATTCTTAAAGATGTTGTGATTCGAGTTACTTTAGAAGCCTATAAGTGATTACATAGGATGAAGCATTTGGTTAGACTTAGTTCAGGTTGTTGCAGAAACTTAAAATTGGCCTTTTATAATTAAATATTGGACTAAAAGTATTGAAAAGAAACATCTAAGTTAGTGAAGTTTCAGTGTATTTATGCAATTGGAGGAATAAATGTACATAATTACAAGATTTTAAATCAGAATTCCATTCCTAAATTTGCAAAATTCGTTAAATTTGTGTTAATGAATCTGATTACTATTTTTTCCTACTGCTCCAAACATTTGACTTTCAACATAGGGTTGACACTGCAACGTGGAAAAATAAATATTTAAGTCTGAATTAAATAGGATCTGCTTCTGAGACTGAAGTACATTAGTTCTCATTGTATATGTTTTAGTATTTGAGACCTGAACTATAAAAATGATTTATACAAATATATTAGTTAAACAAATATATGGGACAAGTTCAAGGCTACTTTTTCACATCCAATGTAAGATGACTATATTCTGTACTTTGAATTAAGCCCTTACTGTACATGAAAAGTTATTAAAGCTCATTGGATTATACCATATTTTTCTTATTGAAGATAATATTTTAAAGTTTGTCTGATAAAGTACAGTCTAAATGCATTAGAAATCCTCAAGGGTATAAAAGGCAACAGAATGTAGGAAAATCCAGATGTTCTTATTTAATTAAAAATAGCATGGATTTAAGGAAAGTACATTTTTAATGAATAAGCCACTGTTCATAGTAGGCTTGACAGGTGCTGTCTAGGTATATTGGCTTCACATGCCACCTATGTTGTTATTTTCCAAATAAGAAAACAAGTAATATTTTTGGAACAAAATGTGAACCTTAGAAAACTTTTTTTGCGTGGCTAAATACTGTGTTCAGTTTTCCTAACCCAGTATTTGGTAGTATATACAATATATTTCAAAGGCCAGCGAGGATAGAAAACAGCTTACCTATGCTACAGGAATACTTCAGGTTGTTTTTATGTCTACTCTTTTGTTTTGAAAATTTTGCTGCAATAATTCTCAAAGTTCCCTGGTTATCTTATTGAAATAAAATTAGGCTGAGTGCAGTGGTTCACACCTGTAATCCCAGCAGTTTGGGAAGCCAACGTGGGCAGATCCTGAGGTCAGGAGATAGAGAACATCCTGGCCAACATGGTGAAACTCCGTCTCTACTAAAAATACAAAAATTAGCTGGGCATGGTGTCATGCACTTATAGTCCCAGCTACTTGTACAAGTCCTACTTATACTCCCAGCTCTCTCTCTCTATATGTATATATTCTCAAATATTTTATATATATATATATATATCTAAAATATATATATATAATGTTTACCTACCCACAAAGGGGAATGGTAGCTATGTTGAATATCTGACAATGGCAACAGAAAAAAATCCAATTGTGTTTTAATGCAGAAATCTTTCACATACTAATGCATTTAAAAAGAAATGAAGTTGTCTGTTACTCAGAAAAAAACTAATTTAATGACTCTTAGAACCACAGTTCACTTTGCAATTATAGCCATTCACTACTGCCCTGGCCAGTGTGGGAATCAGAGCAACTGAAAATAAGATACAATGCCAACCAGTCCCCAATACCTACTCTGTACTTGCTGTATGCACAGCATACAAAGTATTTTATTGCTGGAAACTGACAGGTTTGAGCAAATTAGGAGAATAGGAATACACCTTCATATTCAAAACCAATATCTGGTTACTTTATGAGTCACTGACTCATGGGAATTTTGTGAAGCACATGAGCATAGTGCCACTTTTTTTGGCTCAGAAGAATTAAATGTCTTTGATATATGACTGGCAAAATGAAAATGAGTTCTGTTTGATTGTGTGTATGTGTAAGGATAAAAAGATATCTGTGGATGGTATAAATACATTCTGACTCGTGATAACATACTATCATTGCACTGAAAAAAATTGTGTTAATCTATTTCAAGGTAGTGGTCAGCACTTCCTGTACGTCAACTCATCGGGCTCCAAGAAAGGATCCATTGCCAGAATTACTACCTCCAAATACTTCCCAGCAAGCCTCGGAATGTGTACTGTTCGGTTCTGGTTCTACACGATCGATCCCAGGAGTATGGGAGTATTAAAGGTACGAAAGAAGGCACAGATTTATGTTCTCTGAAATATGCGTGACATTTTTAAACATTGTCTTTCCTTTTCTTATTTGTATTTTTGTTGGTCACACCACCAATGCTGATGCCATTAATTTCTCATTTTTTTCTGGGGCAACAGAGCTTTGGCAAGCTGTGCTGTCATTCATCTTAATCTCATTCAAGATTTATCTCACTGATGGCTGCCACCTGAACTCAATTATGTTGCATGCTATTTAAAAGATTATCTGGAGATAAAAGAGTTTGGGCAGATTCCACATGTACGTTCTATTAGCAACTTAGCTAGGGACAGTGAAGAAATGTGATGTGAGGCATAATGGTGAAGAAGATAATTTTCTACCCAAAACTCGGTAAAGGAAAAGCAAATTTGAGACTTAAAGTATATATCAGCTCCTAGTAAAATCAACATGCATGCTCCATTTTTAACAAAGGCAATAATCTGTGCAAAACGCAGATACCTTTAATGAAACAAGTTGCTGCAGTTATACTTTTCATTGTATCAATGAGCTTTTCAATCATCATGCACCAATGTTAAGATCTTGGTTTCTAATTAAATGATTACACATGGACACACCGCACCTAGTGCTATTAACTTATAATTATCCATCCTACTTTTTGCATAAATACAAATGGGATTTTTGTCTTTATAGCAAATATTGTTCTTTGTAAATAATAACAGCTGTTATTAAGTGCTGCCTTATATTTACTTGTATTTTAAACATTCTGTGTTATCAATTTTAATTCTCACCTTTACCCGATGAGGTAACTGTATTTTTCCCAATTTTACAACAAAGAAACTGAGGCTCAAAGAGGCTTACTAACTTTTCCAAGATTTCACAGTTGGAATTCTGATTTGAAAAATCTGGTATCTTTTTTTTTGGTGGGGGGAGGTGGGGAAGGGCAGAGTCTTAATCTGCCACCCAGTCTGGAGTGCAATGGTGTGATCTCAGCTCACTGCAGCCTTCGACTCCTGGGTTCAAGTGACTCTCCTGCCTTAGCCCCCTGAGTAGGTGGGACTACATGCGTGCATCGCCAGGCCCCGTGTTTTTTGTATTTGTAGTAGAGATGGGGTTTTGCCATGTTAGCCAGGCTGGTTTTATACTCCTGACCTCGTGATCCTCCCACCTTTGCCTCCCAGAGTGCTGGGACTATAGGTGTGAGCTACTGCACCCTCCCCCTCAAAAATATTATGTCTATTGCCTAGTAGTGTTTCCCAGTTTCTCTGTGGCTTACCAAATAAGTCAGGAGAGATACATGGGAACATGGGAGAAAGCATAAAGGCCCTATCAATTCTAGGCATTGACAGAAATTGAAACTCTTAAGTAAAAATCTAAACATGCAAAGAAAGTGGAGAATTTATCCTGATTCTGTGAGAATGTCTATTTTTTTTTCTCCAAAGGAAGCCAGTAAAACAACAGAGAAAGAGGTTCATTTTTAACAGTTGGGGAGCACAGGAGTAAATGCAAAGCATGTAAGATTTTTTAATTTTTTAATAGTTTTTACATCTAATCAATGAATATTCAGTAGATTAGCCTATTGCTTGGCTAAACTTTATCCAGTATAATTTATAACCGCTGAGCTTCAGGAAACTGCATAACACCTTAATTCTACTGACATTATTAAACATGGGTTGCTACAATTAAAGAGGACAGTTGTCTACAGTTGCTCATCAAAGCAAATATCAATGGAAAGGCCACCAGACCTTTCCATATAATGTAGGCAGATTTCGGTCACTTTCTAAGAAAATGTTGCTTTCTCAATTCAAAAAGAGAACCCATATATTCTTTAGCTACTCACCAGCTGGACATTCAGTTCCATAGTTACCCAGTTAAGTGGCCCTCTGTGTTTAGTCGTGTTTCTGTAAATAGCCTTTGAAATAGAAATGCTGACCTCACATCTTGATTTCTGATACCTGGTTTTGGCGCCTACTGATTTTTCTAACCAGAAGGCAGCAGTTAAGTATAACAATGTTCTTCTACTCTGGGCAGTTTTCAGAGAGGTCTATACTGGAAAGAATAGTGGCAGGAAATTGATAATCAGCATGATATTGACTTTTCTGCATCAATGGTCTTGGTGGTGTATTAGGTCATTCTTGCATTGCTATAAAGAAATAACCGAGACTGGTAATTTATGAAGAGAATAGGTTTAATTGGCTCACAGCTCTGCAGGCTGTACAGGAAGCATGGCACTGGGCATCTGCTCAGTTTCTGATGAGGCCTCAAGAAGCTTTTAAGTACGGCAGAATACAAAGGGGGAGCTGTCACATGGTAAAAGCAGAGGCGAGAGAGGGAGGTGTCATACACCTTTAAATGGCCAGATATCATGAGAACTGACTCACTATCGTGAAGACAGCATCCAGCCTTGATGGATCTGCCCCCATGAACCATGCACCTCCCACCAATCTCCACCTCCAGCACTGGGGATTCCATTCAGCATGAGATTTGGACAGGGTCAAATATCCAAACTATATCAGTGGGGTTGACTGCCACAGTGACTTTCTTTTACTACTTTCATGGGTGGCCTCAGTAGGGCCAATTATAGGCTCCTCTAGCATTTGCTGCAGAGGAAGAGAGGTATTTCTCTTTCTTCTGGATTGCAAGTTGTAGGAGCATAGACTAGGCTTGCAGCTATGGGAGGCCGTCTTCCCCCACAAAGGGACAGAGAGTGTTTGACAAAGAAGCTAACACACAGAGGGACACAGAACTAAAGAAAGCGGAAGAAACAGATCTATTTACCTGATCTTTTTAAACTCTCAATCTCACTTTTCTTGCACCAGTAGAATTCTCCTTTTGTTACTTGCTACTGAAAAAGCCCTAATCATTACAGAAACTCAGCAAAAACTGTTTTCATAATGTGTCCTTACATCACTGATGGATCATAGCAGCTGGGGCAAATCTTATTTTCGCAACTATTGCTGTGGAAAATCTTGACTTATTCACAGATTGAACACTTTCCTAAGCATGCAGTAATTTTACATGTGGAGGAACCAATGAAGTGAAAACCCATTCTCCCTGTTCTTCGGATTGAGGCTTTCTATCAACATGCTTTTCTTTCACTAGCTGCTAGTTTGTGCTTTCTTATAATCTCTACTTAGGGCATTACAGTGCTACAGGACCACCCATTATAAAGGAGCTGTGGACTCATGTTTGTGGTTCTATTTTCACAAATATTTGACACCCAAAGCTCAATTAATATAATCTGGACCTGTGGTGGGAAAGAACTTCTTTTTCTAAGTAAAAAAGAAGTCCTTTTTTTCCTTCTCTAATAATGTTGACAGCATAAAAAAAATCTTAAAAGAATAAAATAAATGATTATATCTACTGTTGGTGTGGATGCAAAGAAATAAATATTCATTGTTGGACTATCAATTTGCAATTATGCATAATACTTTGACAATTAAAAATTTATAATTTTTATGTTATTTACTAAAACATTTTACATCTAGAAATTTGTTGTAATAAAAATAGCTATGTATGCTATTTTATTTATAAAGCTTTTTTATCTCAGTGTTTACCCTAGCAAATATTGGAAATCACTTGAACATCAAAAAGTGGGAATTACTAAAATATAGTACATTCAGTCATACTGAAATGCTGTAGAACAGTTAATTCTGTGAGTGAATAATTAGTTATAAAAAGTTTGTGATTTTTAATGACCTAAGCAGATTATTAAGAAATATGTATACTAGTATGCAATTTTTAAAAATTATCAAATTTTGTGTGAAAATATGTGTATGTCTATAGATATTTTCCCATATAAATATATGTACATATATATAAGAGGGAAAATAAATAAATGGAGAAATACATCCTACAATAGTTTAAATAATTATTTGTACATTTTGAGGTGAAAATGTTTCTTTTATTATTTTGCAGCCTTATATATTTTATAATTTTTCTACATGAAACTTACATTAGCTTTCTAATAAAAATTGTGTGTTTTTAAATGGTCTTCATATCTGGAAAGGCTGAGAGACACTGCCCCAGAATGTACCATAAACACATGGTTAATAATAGCAAATATGGTTCCAGAGTACGTGGTAGATTACAGTTGTCTGAAACTATTTGTTATGTTGATTATATAAATCCTTCAAAAAAAAATATGGCAAAAAAAAAATACCTAAGGTGAATTTTCAGAGGCAAGAGTTTATGAGGCAATAAAAATAGCAAGACATTCTCAAAAGAGATTCCAAATTATAAATTGTGGGAGTATGTCCCTTGTCAGCATAAGTTTTCCGAAATCTCACTAAGTGTTACGCATTTCCTGCTCTCCAAGATCTGCTCTGTATTCCCAGGAACTACACTTCCTTGGCTCCTGTGCTTTCTGCCTTCCTAGATAGGTCTGGTCAATGGAAGGCACCCACCAAAGACCTGAGGACAGGAAGAAAAGACACGCCTTCTTTCTCTCTCTCCCAATTTTGGATTTAGTCTCTAACTGTACCTTATCTGTGGCTCAGCTTCCCCCAAATAGGCCATGCTTCTGTAGGTCCAGCTCCCACAAAGTATGCCTGGCAAATTTCCTGTTCTTCCAGCAGCTTGACTTTGGCACCTTTCTCCCTTTGTCCCTCTCGTTTTGGGTTAGAAACGTTCTACATATGGTAGGTTGCGTCATAATTTCCTTGCTTATTTCTCATCTCTTTCGTAACCTTTGTAATCAGTCCCCTATATCTCTATTTTAAATGTTAGAGTTGATTTTTCCGGATATAAGTATGCACTGTAAAGAAAACACAAATCTTTTAATGCTATGACCTTACA